TGGAGAGAAAATGTTTTGAGAAACGATGTACAAATGCGCTTTACACAATTGATGTGTGTATGGATTGGTATAACAGTTGTATGAGCCCCTAATAAAATGTTAAAAAAAATAAAATTAAAATTAAAGAGTTTTGTTATGGCTATATTCAAGTAGTTTCATATGCACCTGGAATAATTTTTAGGATAACTTTGGAATAAATTTTGGGAGAAATATTAGGCTTTCTACTCCTGTAAACAGTTACATTCTTGGAAACCCACAGGGACAGTTCTACCCTGTCCTATAAGGTTGTTATGAGTCAGAATCAACTAAATGGTAGTGAGGTTGTTAAGTTTGTAACAAATTAAACTAAATACAGTTGAATAAATGTGATCCTTGGTTTAATACTTCTTTCATGAGTTTTCCTACCTTCAGTTCCAAAGAATGGGTCAGATTTTGTTTGCTAGCATGGTGGTCTCATGTATCTGTTCAGTTACTCTTGCTTTGTTCACTAGTCATATAGAAGTGTTTTGAAAATGTTTTATTTATTGAAAACTGATCATATGGGGATCAAGGAAACCATAATTAAAGGATGAATTTGTCTGTCAAACTTTGTTTCTAATACTTTATAATAGTTACTACTTAAAGAATTGTTCATTGCTATAGTTACAGTTCAGTATTTTATTCAATTGTTTGTGTGAGAAAGACAGGGCTTTTTACTCCCATGAAGAGTTATGATTTCAGAACTTACAGATCCTGTTCCATCCTCTCCTACCGGGTCCCCTGAAATCAGCATCATTTGATGGTAGTGATTTGATAGTTCAGTGTAACTACTGAAAATGTCAAGGAAAAAAAATTCTTATGAAATCCTACCACCTGACAATGACATTATGAGAAAGAGCTACCAAAGGGATAGAAAATATTTCGTTTTTATTCAAGGGAGTGGAGGGTAAGTGGTAATGGTAACATGTGACTTCAAATAAAATATACTTGCAAAGGCTTTGACAAAATTAAAATATATCAACATGCATAATTGTTTTTTGTGGCCCTGACTTACTCAGGTCAACCTAGATTAGGAACCTTGGTAATAAAGGGGTTAAGTGCTGCCAATTGAAAAGTTGGCAGTTTGAATCCACCAGCCGCTTAATGGGAGAGAGATGTTGCCTGCTTCTGTAAAGGTGAACAGACTTGGAAAGCCTGTTCTGTCCTACTGGGTCACTACATCAGAATGGACTCAATGACAGTGGGTGTTTTTGTTGTATACAGTGCAGAAGATCACAGAATGTCATTGATAAAGGAAAACAATTACATAAGGTTTTGATAATTTTTTTCCAAAAAATTACTTTTTAACTATTTTTAGTATTTAAAGAAAGCATAAGTATTAAATAAGGTTACAAAGATGATTTTATATTTATTCTTAAAATGTATTATTGACAATCAACTTAAATAACATTTTACCATTTGTGTTCATGTCTTCAATGAACTGTTTCTGCCAGTATTTTAAAAACTTTGACATGTTTGTTTCTTTGCTCTTTGTATATTCCTATCCTTTCAGAATAGTTTCACTGAAAGCATTTAGAGAAAAAATATCTAAATATCAAGATTTATGTGAAAGAAAGGTGTGAAATTGATTTTTAAAGTAGAATAGCTGTTCCATCTGTAAACAGAAACCCCTTGCGATTTGGTATGATAAGTAAAGCTATACATGAGGGTTTTAAAAAAAATCATTTTATAAGGGGCTCATACAACTCTTATCACAATCCATACAAAATCAATTGTGTAACGCGCATTTGTACATTCATTGCCATGAGGGTTTTTTATATGAGAAGTGACAGAAATCAGATCATGAATGGGATTCAGGAGTTTAAATAGCAGTATCAAAGAAAGCTAGAATTTTAAAGACAGGCTCCTTTTAAAATGGTCAACTTGAAATGATGAAACCTAAACTGTCAAATAAGTAGTTTTCCTGAATCGTAATTCAGGAGTTTCTTGGCTTCCAGAACATGTTTAGTATACTTATTTGTAAGTTGAATTAACATCAAGAAAAACTGCTTGTACAAAGAAGTTTCAGATTGAGATGCTCTGTGGGCCATCTTTATGGCATGGAAATTCTCTGTGTGTTTAGATACATTCTTCCACATGCTTTAGAAAATTATAGGAGTAGATAACTCAATTTCAACCTCATTTTAATTTCTAAGGTGGAGTAGAGTGTAAAATATGTAAATTTTATAACATAAACAAATATGAAACTTTTTATTATTACATATATTTGTTTCTTTGTTTTGTAATTCTTTTCTGTTACCAAAGATTAATGTCATATAATCCCAAACATCTATAAGGACTAATTTTTTGTGTGTGTGTGAATCTTAAGTGAATCAAAATTC